CACACACACACACACACACACACACACACACACACACACACACACACACACAAAATAAAGATATCTTTTAAGATAACATAGAGCAGAAAGAGATATCATAAAATCATTTTTTTAAAAAAATAGATTATGTCAACGCAATAAAGAAATGAAGAAGAAATGTCTTTCAATGTGCAGAGTGGTTTCAAAGTGATGAAAGATGTAAATAAAAAAGCAACAACATCCACAGTAATTTATCATGTCAATTCCAATAATAAATATCAAAATGCAAACAAAGAAATGTGAACAAAATTTTCAAATATCCTCTGGGTAAGACAGAAAACAGCCATTTTACATGAATAAAAGTGTAATCCAAGCATAATATTAAGTCCTGCACAGAAAATAATCAAAGGAAGAGAATTCTTTTTAATCTGAATTATTCTATATCCTGCAGCCTGGGAAGGCAGGATTTTCATACTTATATTTCACACATAAAATGTTTTATCTAACTGAAATTATATTTATACTTTGAATAAATGAAATATTATTATTGATTTTTGAGTTGTATATGTTAATTTACCTTTTCACCTTCAGAAAATGTTATTCCATCAACAGCTCTTTTCCAAGTAATTTCAGGAACTGGTTCTCCTTCTGCTTCACATATCAGAGTGGCTTGACCATTTTCAAAGGTGGTTTCATTTTTAAGTTGTATTATTTGAGGCTGTACTGTTAGAAATATAAATTATATTACTTGTTCTTGATATCAAAGGCTACATACAACACCTTCTTAATATATGTTTGTTTTACTCCTAATGTTTATCTGCATTGTAACGTTATTCCATTTTTGGTAGAAGTTTTCCATTGAGAAAGTTAAATATTGAAATGAAAATAGGCAACATGTATATTTCAATTTAGTTTACCCACGTATATTGAAAATAGGCAACAAGTATAATATGTGGGTAAACTAAATTTAGTTTCATATACTTAATGAAAATAACATTGATTATATAAAATAATAGCTCTATTCAATCTCTCTTGCTATTCTCTGTTCTTGTCTTTCTTATCACATTATAACCCTCTATATATTAGACTGGACATTGAGAAGCTTACTCCTGCAAATGTAAGATTTGTCATGTTTTTCTTCTTCTCTGTTCTCCAGTTCCTTTACTTTGCTTAACAATGTATGTCTAACTCTTGTAGATATCTCCAGTAGCTGTTTTTATGAAAGTGAACTATTTAGTAGCTAATGTTGTCACAATATCTTTCTTTTTCAACTTTTCTTATGAATTCACTAATATGGGGTCCTTGGTGCTCTCTGAGCTTGGTTCTTTTCTTGTAGATGTCAGGTTCCCAGAACATCATAGACCCTTCATTTCAATCCTGAGCTACAAAAGTTTCTTTTATTGGAACTCATTAATATATCTAAAAATGACTATTTTAAAGCTACTGCTTTAAAAATTTCCAGGTTGAATGGATAAGAAACTATAGAGATGAACAGAAACAATCTTATAAAATGTGTAGGAACAATTAAGGGATAATAAACGATATTCTGGGAAAGAGGAAAGAATCTAATTACCTTGATTCCTTTTGGTATAAGAAGGCAAAGAACTCTTATACAAACAGAGAGGACTGAAACATTTTAAAAGTCCTGGGAAACAATAGAACTATTTTTTAAAAAATATCAATGTGACATGAATATCACCTAGTCATGTGTATCCTATATTTTCAATTTGAATCATCTTTTCTCAGACTGTAAAAAAAAAACAACTGGCTGGGTTTTTGCAAGTGAACATCATAGATATGTTTTTGTTTAGACTTCCTCCTCTATATAAAAGAATAGAATTTTGTTATGGGCACAGGTAGATTGTAGAGAGGAACTTGTAATTTCTCAGTATATTTTCATCATTATCTGTAAGGCAGCAGTGAATATTATTACATTTTTTTAAAAAAAATAATCAAATTTTCAATTTGTACTAAAATGAAAAAAAATATTTTTCCTAACATTTTTTTCTTTAGAAAAAGTCTCATTAAAAAATGAATGAAAATTAGTAACAGCTAGGGATCGGATGGCTTTCCTAAATGAAGGAGCTCTGAATTTATTTCAGAGTCAATTAAACATTTCTAAGAATTTTACATACAATAAATTTGAAGTGAAGTTCAAAGATAGCCAAGCCAAACAATACTTACCAAAAACTTGCATGAAAGTCTGATTTGTCACTCTTCCTGCTTTATTTCTTGCTTCACAAATATAGGGACCAGAATCAACATTTTTTATATCTTTTATGGTTAGTTCCATATTCCTGCCTCTTAATGTATATTTATCACTTTCCTCAATACGTTTGCCCTTTCTATAAAGACATATAGATACAAGTTTTTGAGAAATATGGAAAATTAGGAATTTTAACTTTTCATTTGTGTGTGAAGATTCATTATAATACTCTATTATGTAATCAAATAAGAACATAAAAATTTACATGGTGATGCAGCATTTTTATTAATTCAAATAATAACTTACATTTAACATTATAGACATTCTACAATTATGAGAGTTCAAATTCCATTTGCTTTATTGAAGTTACAAAAGGACATAATAATTGGGCATAAAAATCATGCAGTTTAATTATCATTCATTATAACATTTAGAATTTATTCATGTCATGAAGAATATATACTTTCACCGTAATTATGAAAAAGGGAAGCAAACTTGAAAACAAATATTCTTGAATTGATTATGAATATTACCATTTTGATTACTGTTACCTTTATATAAAGAAAGATTTATATTACAAAATGTGTAAATCATGTAATTTCATGTATATATTATTGAGAAATTATGATGCAATAATAACAATGCTGTCAGTAGAAGTTACAGAAATTCTTTAGATATACAGATGACTGAAGAAAAATATCAACAATGAAACAAGAAAGAATTAATATTTTATATTTATTTTACTACTAGGAAAATGTTTTTAGTATCATTGATAATTTCAAATTATATCTTCTTTTATAGGTTACTATTTCCACTTTATGTGCTAATCTGTTACTTGTACCCACAAATGTTATTTGCACATAATAATAGATTTCTGAAGCTTCCTGTAAATGAATTTGCAGTAATCAACAAACCACCATGTTATAAGAATAAAAATCTTAACCAGAAAATTATAATAAGGGAGTATGGTCTCAGAATATTTCTACAAAGGAATAATTAGATTGTTTTCTGTAATATATTTGTAAGGCTCTATCGATTCAATTTCATGTAAATATAGGATCCAAAATAATATAGATTTCCTGAGTTATTTCCTATATTATATTGTATAATTGTTCAAAACTGTACAACATACTTTAGTGAAATTTCCCTGCTGCACAATAGAATCTAAAAATTCTGTCTTGATATAAAAATTGCAATTGTTGTTATCTTTAATATTATAAACTGTGATATCATAATATGATTAAAAAGGCCAAGAAGAACACTGGAATAGTTTCTGAGAATACTTGTTTTCGACATTGAGTCTTTCTTCAGCATGACACCCCATATATTATGCTGGTGTATTCATAATCTAAGTAAACTGTCATTTTTTATTTTGCATTCCTTTGGTATGCTTACAGCACTTAGCCAATATGCATGCTAATTTAATGGCTTACACAGAACCTGTTTCAAAATAAAATATTGAGGAAAGTCATCCATTCAGAAATGAATTTAAGTTGGGAACAAAAACCTACTCAATCAGCAGTTTTTTTTAAAAAAAAAACCCCATATTGACTGAAAAATCCCCCTAATTAGTTATTTCTTATTTAACAATTCCAAAACCCATTGTATGCTAAAATTCTCTGCTTGTGAAACTTACCTGTACCAGTTGATTTCAGGTTCAGGAGAACCAGTAGCTTTACAGAACAAAGTAACTGCCTCTCCACGATCTGCTGTAGCATTAAAGGACTTCTGAAGCAAAGTAATGATTGGCGGAACTGGACAAACATAAAGCATTCAGTTTTTACAATATAGACAATTTTTTAGACATTAAAAACAAATTTATTTTTTCTCTCAAATCATGTCAGGCACAGGACAAGATTCAGTGGGTTTTATTTATTGCTCAAGCCTATATTCAAAAATCTAGTAAACTAAAGTTCAATACCAAATTGGCACCAGGTAAGAGTTAATAGAATTCAAGGAGTTGGTCTTAGACTGTATGTGGCAATGTAACAACTCTTAGCTGTTAATATGCTTAATTCTGCACCCCAGTTCTGCCTGCTCTTCTTCTACAAATTATCTGTCTATTATTGTTTCAACATGGTATCCAAAACATTGCAGAAGATAAATAAAGATGTGTCATTTATATTCTTGAAAACATTTGATTATATTTTGTTTCACTGATATAAAAAATAAAGGAAATTAATAGCTAATGATCCTGTTTTCAGTCTTATTTAGCTGTCTGAGAATTTCACATGCAAATAATGTTCCTAGAAAACATAAGCATAAATATTATTTTTCTTAAAAAATAACTTTGAAAAAAATGTAAATTGAAATTGATAATTCATTAGTTAGAAATATTTTGTAACAGATTTAAATATGAAAGTAAAAATGATCTTTTCTGAACTGGTTTATTTTTTTATTTCATTGATTTTCTCCATTGTTGAGGCTGGGTTAGTAGTCAAAATTATTATCATTGAAAAAATAAATGCCATATATGTGTGCAATTCATTTTTTAAAATAACTTTAATATTGCCTTCTTAAGGCTATTAAGACTTAAAACAAGGATTAGCTGAAGCAATGTACTTCAGAAGTACATTAATTCTCTCTCACACTCTTTCTCTCTCTCTCTCCTGCATGTGCATGAGATGTCCAACAATGTTGAATTTCATTGGTATGATTCACAAAATTGGGAGTGTATGTTCCTACAAATTCATATCCCAGTTTTTGGAGGTTATTGGGGACTGGATGAAGCAAGATGGACTCCAATTCAACCTAGCAAGGGGCTGGCTATGATTACTTGAACCTTCCAGAGATAAGGTTCTTCCATCTTTAGTTGTGGATGGGATTCCACTATCTCGGACAGACCCAGTGTCAAATCTGGAAGTCTTTCCAGAATCACTGCTGATCCTCAAAGAGCAGGTGGAAGCCATGGCTAGGAGAGCCTTCGCATACTTCTTCTTGAAAATTCTAATAGTAATTAATGCCTTTGTAGCCACTAATGCAACATGTTCTACATATGGCTACCTCTAAAGCAGTGATGAAGAAGCTTTTTCTTATGGCGTGCCAAAAATGTGTGCATGCATGCCCACATCAATTCAATCATTCCTCCACCTGCGCATGCACACGCGCATTCATGCATGACCCTCCCCAGACCCCAGAGGCTTTGCTGAAGCCTGGGGAGGGCAAAAACTGTGTCCCCTGACTCCCCTGAGGCACTCCGGAACCTGGAAATGGATCGTTTCCAAACTTGTGGTTGGCCCTTTGGGAAAGATTTTTGTTCTCCCAAGGCTCCGGAGGCTTTCCTGAAGCCTGGGGAGGGCAAAAAATGGCCCCAATGAGCCAACTGGAACATTATCCCTCTAAAGAATAGAGTGCCCCAATCCTATTAGCCTTTTGTAATGTAATGTAAATCTGGTTATATTCCTGAAACTGAATGGGGCTGAGGTGCTGAATGTGGCAAGGACTTCATTTCCTGGCTTTACTGCTAACTGGCCTAGTATCTCACCTGCTAGTATATTTATTTTTAATGTTTTTATTATTTTAAAATGTTTTAGTGTTTTAATTGTAATATATTTTTTGTATAGTAAGCTGGCCAGTGTCATTGGCAGAGATGGGATACTATAGAAATAAATAAAATAAAGATAAAATTAAAATGAATACATAAATAAAATGTATAATAAAAATAAATAAAAAATATAAAATAAATAGAGAAAACAAAAAAATATTGAAGAAAAACAAAAAAACCTTCCTCTAATATTAGGGTGAAGCACCCATACACCATTCAGATACTATAAAAGATACTGTTTCTGTTTGCAAGCAAATAAATAACTTTGAGTTTATCTCAGAAATTGGGGTGAGACAATAATCTCTATTAGTATTCTCAAAGTATTTGAGGGCTTCGGTTTATGGTTTTCTGGAGGAAGGGATTAGTAACCTGCCTAAAATATTCTTTAACATTTGTATAACCCTAACATTTCATACACATTTGACACAGAGTTTTCAGCATTAGAGAAATGTCTGTATCTGTAATATTGTATATGAGGATGAACAGATGACATACTGTATTTACCATCTATATTGAGGGAAAATACTTAGACATGTTAGAAAATGAAGCCCTAACTTATCTGGAAAGCGACTCACTGAAAAAAATAAACCAATCTAATATGACAATACATTGTCACCATATCGTACCATACCACTCTAAACACAGAACCCAGTCTTCTAATATAACCACACTTTACTCCATCACTAGTAATGGAGACAATGTAGAGAAAAAATATTTTGATTCACATAAATACGTCATATGGGAAGTAATTCAAGCATGAAGTAAATTTAAGCAGTTTTCAAATGAAATGTGTCTAGCAGTATTAAAAGATTAATCAATATTAAATATTAAGTCAATAGATTCTAGCATTTGTAATGAAAATGTAAGCATTATAATGCCATAGTTAAACACATGAGAATAACCTTCGCTCAGGAGGAATCAAACGGTAATCTTTATCACCAGCCTTTCAGTCATACTTTGGCATGTGCTTGGATAATAAAGACCACTATATTATCTGAATGTTATAAATATCCTTACAGACATATTGAATATTTAATATAGATGCTCATATTTTTTTATTTATCATCAGGGATACTAATCTAGCTTGCAATATATAATTTCTTTTTCATCTGTATTTATTTCAGTTTTAACTATTTCATTTTCATGTTTGTTTCTTATCAGTTTTTATTTCAGTGAGCAAGCCATTCAAATTAATAATAAACAAGAGCTGTTTAACAAATCTGTTATCTGAAATATATAGATGTGATTGAAAAAGGAACATCAAAGGAAGGGTTCATGAAGATATACAAATATTAAAGGCTAATACTTTTATAAATAAACAACCAAGTCTCAACTGAAATTCCACTTGTGCAAATGAGTATCCACTGTATTCCTCAAAAACCATCTGAAATATTGTTTCCAGGAGTTAATATCTAAAACCCTTGGGAATAACACTAAATTAGGATGTGTGGAAATCAATTCTTATTCCAATCAAATAATAAAATACCATCTACTTCCTTAGAGACAGTAAGTTACACAGCTGTCAATGAATCTAGGGAAGCTGGTTTGTGCTGTGTCCTAGAATTTTCAGCTGGGTTTGTTATCATGAGAGATATTAAGTTAAGAGAACTGTCAGGACAATGAGTGGTAAGGAGGCATTAATAATATTTATATGTACTGTATATGATAATACCTACTTCCAAATCTCTGAAAAATGAAGCTGATATTTTTAAAAAATTAAACAGCAATGCCATATAGTATTGGAATACTTAGGTTTGGATTTAAAGATAAAAAGGATGAAAACATCAGATATTAATATTGCTCTCCTCCCTCTTCCAATAAAGAAGGAGATGATGGAGGAGGGGTGGAGGGAAATAAAGAAGAGTAGCATTGAAGCATTTGTACATGATTATGCACATGATATTTGGATTTGCCCCTTCCCCACAAATGAAGTCCAAGCAGTGGTCCTGTTGGCAAGCTCCTCGTTATACATGTCCTGGTTGGCACTTGGCCATAATTTTATGTACCTTTTTGCTTTATTTTATTTTTGATATTTTATCTTACCTATCTTATTTTATTTTACTTATACAAACCCCAAACTCCAAACTTTACAAAAAAAGAAAGAGTTCTGTTGAGAAAGAGAGTTGATATCTATGTATGTGAGACCATGAGAATGAATCAGCCTGGCAAAGCAGCTTGAAACCAGCTAAGACATCAATACAGCTGAATATTAACCAGTTCCTCATTACAATGGCTCCTGCTGAAGATCTAGTCTCCTGGAACCCCATTAAGAGATTTGAGGTGCTATCTCAGCATTGGCTTCCTTTCTTCTAAAGAAGAATAAGGGATTTTTCTGAAGCAATGATTTTCAGGAAAAAAATTACATGCTGCTTACCATCTGTACTTATGCTTCTAATGAGATAATCACAGATAAGTTCTTGTAGGAATGTTAACAGCAAAACACCCTCATATTTTTCTGTTTAAATTTTGTCTTTTAACTCCTCATAGCTTTGTTTGAGTAAGTATTAATTGGCTGTCTAATATAAATTAGACAGGAAAAGGGCGGCATATAAATAAAGTTAAAATCCAAAATCCAAATCCAAATGGCAGAAAAAGAATCCAGATTTTTTATGGTCAATATTGTTAAAAATAAGGTCTTATTGGAATTGTTAGAATGTCCTCTATCCAAATATTTACTTACTGACAAATGTGAGGCTTCTATTAGATAACTATGTGAGGCTTCTATTAGATAACACTGCATCATTTCCTTGTGATGCTGTGTGTTGGAATTCATTGTTGGAATGTATTTCTATGCAGTAGTATTCAGCAAATAGGTGGCAGTATTAACATGTCTGGCTCTATGATATATATTGTATGCTCGTTTGTTCTGAGTAGTTTCCTCTTTCCTGTTACAATAATGTAGTTGAACAGTAAACTACATGGTGACTGTACTTTTTTTTTGCTCTGTGTGGTGTGGTACGCATAATTTCTAACACTGTCTCCAGCTGTTTCTGTTATCTGTACTCTATTCCTGTACTCACTGATATTATAAATTGTTATATGTAGTTTTATTTAGAAACATTTTAAATTTTAATGTTTTCCCATATATTATTTGTGGGGGCGGGGGGTTCCCTGACACAAAGGAATCATGTGCTCCTTTAACAGAAAATCTATAAAAAATAAATAATTGTGTTGTCACTTTCCTTGATTAGGAAATTCATCTTTTTTTTTAAAAAAAGTTGGAAAATCACTACACAGGTAGCAAGGAAAACCAATTAAATCACAAATTACCTTTTACTGCTGTTAACATTTGGGAGCAATGTAGCAACAAATTCACGATGTCTAATTATACTGTGAATTATGTTATGCTACATTTGTTAATTTTTTTCTGTACTTTTTTTCTAATTCACTTTTTGGTCTCCTGTTCATCATTTCATATATTGCAAAAATGAAAAGATAGGGAGGGAGGCATTTTTCCAAGTCTTGAATATAATGTTTGGTTTGGTTTTATCAATGTATTGGTAATTGGACAGCTATAATATAAAGGTTATAGCAGAATGTAACCAACCATAAAAGCATAATTTAGTTGGCCTCCTTTTAATAAAATAGGCAGCATATAAAAACTTAACTTTGTTTTTGTTTTTCAAATTCTCTTGAGTCACTATAATTCTGAGCTACTGTAAATCCAATAGAACATTTAGCACTAATGTTGCAGCAATTTAGCTGACTTTTATTTCATTCTACAGTTCCCTAAAACAGTATAGGAACACTGTGAACTTCTGTAAATGAAAAGAATGAAAAGATTGAATCCAACTCAATAATTCTGAATAGACAAATTAGTTCACATGAAAGCCTTGAAGAATTTATGAATGCCTTTAATTTCCAGCGAAGAAATAGTTTTTTTTTTAGTGAAGAAAGCAAACCAATGAAAACAAAAGGAAAATGCTAGACATATCCATGTTTTTTAAACATTTCTTATAACATTTGAATATTCCTTTAGATCTCATAAATTCTACATAACAAGGCTAGTTATCGAGTAATGCATACAAAATTTGTCATCCTTTGTCTCTTGCATTTACATTTTTTTTCTCTCAGAATAAATTTTGGAATAAAATAATCTTTATATTATCCACATATCTACATTATTACAACATGCACATATAAAAAGTAGAACGATTTTTGGCCTATGTTGTGATGATACCAAAGTTAGAGGTCACATTTTTAAAAGTGAATTACATATAATTAACTTGGAATGATAAACTAGTGCTATAAGTTGTTTGTATTGCACATATGCAGTACTGAACAGTGACTGTTATACTTTTACCCTTAAAATTAATTCACCTTATTCTGAAATGCCACAATATCAGAAATATAAATTATATTTATTACATAAATAAAAATAATATATAATTTAAATCTTACCATTTACAATTACAATTATATCCCGAAAGTCAATTTCTCCTCTAGCTTCGACTCTTCCTTCACATCTGTATACTCCTTCATCACTTTTATTAATTTTAAGAATTTGAAGATTGTTGTTTGGCAACATGGCAAATCTATCTGGAAAACATATAGGAAAACTATTATCCATAAATAATAGCAATGAGTAAATATAACTTTTGGCATATTTAAATACTTCCACTACACTATTAAAGTATTATCAGTGAAACATTTTCAGAGAACATGTAATCCGGAAAGCTTAATTCTGTATTTTTTATTTCCTACATCATGGGTTTCTAATAAATCTATGCAATACTATTTATATTCACTTTAATAAAGAAATCCACACTGCAAGGTGATAACAATTCTTGAATTAAAGACATGAAGCAATGAAAAGACACAAAGCATTGGATATTATTCATTGGATATTACTCATTTCAGCCCAGACTGAGAAGTATGCAGTTTGTGTCTCTTTTGCATTTAGCACATAAAGTGCTAAAATATCCCAAACCTATGACTGAGATATCATTCATGTAAAATCAAATGATAAAAAATGTCAAATTAAAAAATTAAGTAAACTTTTCTGTTTTTTCAAATATATTATTTATGGTGTATTTTCACAGGCTCATCTTCCAAACCTGTGAAGTGGCACAGGAATACCTGTGTGATCTATTGACAGAGGATAAACCTTCAAGATGCAGCTTTCATCTCAATCATAAAACACTAATGGTTGAAAATAAAACACTTCTATTGTTTTATTTCTACCAAATCTTTCTGTAGAAACCTTATACAATGCCTTATTAATGGTGTTACTGATGACATTATCAAAGACTTCAATGTGCCTGGATGCTACTGGCCATCCCCTGGATTTATATTCTTTCCTCTGGTTGTTGGGCACACCTTATAGGTCTTCTTTGGCTTAAACATCAAGAGATGCTGGATATATGACTTTATGCATAGACATCTACTTAAGCGATGCCTGATTTAGCAATTTGTGAAGTACCAATCAGGCATTATATAACAGGATTTTCAATAATTTATTATTCATTAACTGCCCTTGGACTCCAAACCAATTCTGAGAAGTTCACAAAAAGAATAAATATACAAGATGAATTGAAAAAATAAATAAACAATAGATGATGAAACACAGCCATCAGCATAAAACTTATGCAAATGCAACCAACAAGGGGCTCCAGCTACTTAGCAAAGAACAGACTGGCCTTTAAGACCCTCTGATGTAACATCAGATCATGAGTCACCCATATCTCAGGAGAAACTTCATTACAGAGAAAGGGGCTGCAAAGAGAATGCCCCTTTTTAATCAAATGATGCCATTTGAGAAATTTCCTGATAGCTAGAAAAATTAATCACTGGAAGTTTTTAAGAAGAGATTGGCAACCATTTGTCTGAAATGGTATAAGTTTTCCTACCTAAGCAGAAGGTTGGACTAGAAGATCTCCAAGGTCCCTTCCAACTCTGTTATTCTGAACAACCTTATCAATTCATATCAACTTGCAAATACCATGGCAGATAGACAGTTCCTCAAATAACTAGGATGTATGTCATGTATTACTGTATAAGTCATAGCCTATATTTGTGATGGTGAACCTATGGCATGCATGCTGATATGTGCAGTCACCCCAGGTCAGATCTCCGTGATGTTTCTTTTGTGAGCTTCTGTTTCCCTGCAAATAATGAAACAGAAGCTCATGAAAGAAAAAGATCTTACCTCTTGCCGTGCTGACAGTGTTGAGATGCCCCACCTCTCGCTGGCCAGCTGGTCTTCGGGTCTCTTCAATGTTTGCATGTCTGTGGGTGCATGCAGGCTTGTTCGTGCATGCACACATGTCCACGCATGCGTGCATTCTCACACATGCATGCACCTTTCAGTTTGGGCATGCAAGTGTGCACAGTTTGGTCATTCAGTATCTAAAAGGTTCGCCATCAATGGCCTATATAAACTGTCAAAGAGTCCAGCTTGTTCAGCATGGATAGCTTCACTGCCACAACATTGCATTGTGAACTAGTAAACACATCCAGTGTTTGTGTTCTTCTAAGACTCTTTTTATTAGACTCTTTTTATTAGACTCTTTTTAAAAATAGCAGTCTTTTGAAAAAAATTATACATTTACAAACAGAACTAACACCTTGCATGAAAGTAATTTTAAACCAAGAGAAAGACCCTGGTTTTCCCAGTAGTCTGCAGCTGGATTTGTGAAAATGGGTTAGTGACAGGCATAGACAAAGCATGTGGGAATAAGATAGAACTGGATAAATTCATGGCTTTTCATAACCCCTTTACCTACCAAGAGATAAAGTAAATGTGTAAAGTAACCACTCGTTACTTCTGGAAAACCAGTTAATCCACATCAAATTCAATCAATCATTAGGCAATAGAAACTTCCCCCATCATACTTTAAGAAGAAAATACACTCAAAGACACACCCACCAGTTGGTGATGCTAAGTAGATTTCTATTTTACTTTCTTACAGTAAAGCTACAAGGACAGAACTATAATGAGGCAATAACAGCTCAGCCATTAGTGTAACAATTATGCCAGTATATTTTCCCATCAACTAAAAAACCAAAAGAATGCATATTAGCATTCTACAAGAAAGAGCCATAGTTACTTAAAAGGATAGGAGTAGATAGGAACCAAACCTAAAGATTATTTTGTAACAAGTGTTAAAATTTATTTTTAAAAAACCTTAAATAAAGATAAATACTTCTCTTTTGATCAACCTGATTTAGTAAATAAATTCATGTATTTTCTTGGCAATAATTTAGTAGTTCATACAGGTTTCTTCCAAGTTCCAACCCCTCTGTTTCCAATACTTTGTCAACAGTACTTGCACTATCTTTCTATGGCCAGCCAATTCTGTTTAGATACTTCCAGCTAGCTTTATTTACAACTATTTAATGACACATTATAAATAAATATTCATTATAAACAGTTTGTTTACTTGTATTTTGCATTCACAGCTCTATGGGAAATAATGTTCAAGGTGAAAAGTTGGGGGCTAACAAAACAAATGTGATATTTGAATCTTAGATTTATGTAAAATTTCTTCTAATTGTGAATCTCCATTTAAATTACCAGATCATTTCTTTCATAAACCTGTGGTAGATTTTCCACATAGTGTCCAAATCTTAGAGCAAACAGTGAAGTCAGTTGTAGTAGCCATGTAACTTCCACACAATATTCTTTTAAATAATAAAGATTATTAAGTGTAAACAATCTGAATATGTAACAAAACATATAATTTAAAGAGTTACCAAAATACTAACTGTCAGCAATATTTGAGACTTCCTCATTTTGATATAACCAGCTGACAATAGGTGCAGGTGAACTGATCACATGGCAAATGACTTGTACATCTTCCCCCTGTACAAATTCTTGAGGTGATGAGACATCCTGGAATGTGAGCTTTTCTAAGAAAAAAGAAAGAAAGATATTTATAGTAATAGGTTATTCTTTCAAAGCAGTTAAATCATTTATAATGAGTCATCTTAACCAGCATTTGTTAGCAAAAAAGGTTATGTATAAATATAATTCAGAAAATCTTCCTTGAATTTTTCAAGTATTTAAAGTCCATAGTTATGGATGTATTTATGTAGAACAGCTTTCATAAATGGGGGATAATCAAAGCTATTATTAACATTTTTCAATTTTCTTAGTTTCTTTCCAAGGAAGCTGAGTTATCATTATGTTACAATGCAGGGACATGCAGTGAGGGGAGGCAGGAGGAGGCGAGAGAACCACGTGCCTCCTTTACTCTATCTTTATGATCACTTGAGCAGAGTTAAGCAAGGGTTAAAAGGCAAAAAATTCCTTATGCAAAGGAGGCACGTGGTTCTCTCCATGGCACGACAAAACCGTGCTCGTCAAAATCGTGGTGATAAAATTGCGGCGCTAAAGCCGCAACATCACCGCGCGTCATCCCCGCCGCGACAACAGCGCGGCAACAGAAGGGCGCTTTAAAATGGCACTGCGGCAGAAAGCCGACTTCATTAAGGTAAGGTTTAGGATTAGGTTTAGGGGTTTGTTTTAGGGTTAGGTTTAGGTTTAGGGTTAGGTTTAGGGTTAGGTTTAGGGTTA